AGAGATTTTGAAGAGATGAGCAAAAAGAGAATCAGGAAAACTCCTGATTATTAAGCTATCAAGGAAAGAGAATGTAACCTGGCCAAAGAGGGATCTAGTTTCTCACCAATCCAGACTAGGTTTAGCACAGGCTGATGGCAAAGGAAGGTGAGTAGAGTTGTTCCAATAGCTATCAGTCCTCAAGACAACTGGACCCTTCCTCTTCCGGTCAAAGGTGAGATGACATTTCCAGTCAGTGGGATCTCATCAGATCAAGAAGAGAGGTCTGGACTACATGGTGTCCTGGTGCCCAGGGATGTCTTGGAAGGAAGGCCATAAGGTTTCTCTTCGGGATATAGCCTGGACTCTTTCTTTTTATTTTTTTTTACTTTTTGATACATGCCCCTAGTGGCAACTGAACCCGGGACTCTCTGGTCCGCAGGCCAATGCTTCAACCGCCGAGTCAAACCGGCCAGGGCTAGCCTGAACTCTTGTCAGGAGTGGCCGGGTAATCTGGGGCTGGACTGCTCAGGTGTCTACCTACTTTTAAGAGTCACAATGATAAAAGACAAACAAATCCTCACATTTCAGAGCTATCACTGGCACATAAATTACAGTGTAGTAATTAAGCTTTTAGCCAAGACTTTCAGGCTTTGGATATTTTAAGGAACAGTGTTGTGACTAAAGAAAGTCTCATCATAAAGTGTTATCTGTTAGACTCCAGAGAAGATGTTGTCCTGGGACCGCTACCATGATTCCACTGCTGTCCTTTGTGGGGAAGACAGGTTTGACACAGGGTTGGGGCATTTGCTGCTTAATGTCCTCTCTTGGGAATGTTTGATACATTTGAGGGGCACAGTCAGGGCCCCAAAGCTGTCAGGTTCTAGCCAGCTTGGAGAGCTTCTTTTATTCTGCATGCAATGGGAAGGTCCAATTCTAACCTTACCTCTAAATCCACTGACTGTCCACTTAGTTATCTTCACATTTCTAACTGCTTCTAGTTTAATTCTCCATCCCTCACTTTGGTACATGACTATGTAAGAGGCTGTCTTTTATTGTTATTTCAATAGTGTATGTTTATTCATTCAAGAATTTATTGAGTGGGCAGGAACTGAGCTATAACAGACAGCTATAAATATGATGACTACAGTCCCTTTTGTCATGAAACTTATGGTCTAGTGGAGGATATTGATACACAAGAAGATAAGTACACCTCTGTTCCTTGCTTTACCAACTTTACTATAAGCTGAAGGCAGAATTCATATCTACTGTGTTGTATCCACTGAGTACAAAGTATATAGGTGACATGCAGTAAATACTTTGTTTTATAAGTTTCCTGCTAATAATTAAGAGTTTGTTACATTGCCTGCCTTGGTGTCAAACACTGGATCTAGCCTTAAGGCAAAGAAGGAAATCAGATTACAACTGATGCTTGCTTAGCATTCTGTGTACACTGTGGGACACAAATCAGACTAGATAGCTCTGGATGTACAATAGATTGGGTTGGCTCCCCATTCTAGTCCTTTTTCCTGGAGGCACAGGGGCTCCCCTCACTGATAAACCTCTCTAGCTCACTGCAAAGAACCATTTTCCAGTAAGAAAAATAAAACAGAGGAAAGAGCAGTGAGCTCCTTGGCTAAACCAGTTTCATCTCTCAAGGGTAAGAAACCATTCTCCAAATCACTTCTTTGAAGGGAACAGCAAGGGAAAGACTTTGTGTGAGGCTCATAATCTATTTCTTGAGCTTTTGTAAATAAATATTGTGGATATTTATTGCCACTGGCTGATATATCTGGCTATTGCTCTTTTAGGAACTAGGCACATGGTTATTCAAACCAATATATTCTAATATTGTTTGGGAATGGTTTATTTCAATTATTAATTTATTTTTCAACATTCTTAGTATTTTTTTATTTTTAGTTAAAATGAACTTTATTTGTTAAATGCATCAGGATTTACATTATGGAAATAGCTCTTTGCAAGGAAATGAAGTAGTTTTAAAAGGACAGTAGCCTTTATATTGGTCACTGTCATTTGGTATTAATGCCACCCCTTTCATCTAGATCCCCAAATATTCAAATTAAAGAGTTAAATCAGTTACAGTTATGTGCATACATTTCTTCTACATTTATATTTTATGTGGTTATCTATTTTTTTACCTTAATTTTCATTCATCTTAATCACAATTATGATTTTTTCTTAAGTTGTTACCTTAACTGTCCAGCATGTCCAACTCATATCTGTAGTAATTTGCTCAAGACCTTAGGCTTTATTTTGAACTTTAAAGTCGGTGGAACTTCTCTCACTGGTGTCTGCAGGGAACTAGGTAAAGGGATTCTCTGCTGCTGCTCTAAATGCTCTCTTAGACTCAGTCGCGTGCTCCCCATCCCACTGAGACTTTCTCCACTAGTAACTCTGTACCTTGTTTATACACATAGTTCATTTATACATCTAGGTCTCACCTTGTCCTTTGGATTGGAAGCACACCATTCTGTCTTCTGCACAACTTTGGCATCTCTGACTCCCCCTTCCAGCAACAACTTCAGTGGCTACCACGGAAAATGCTCTCCCAAGCTCCACTTAATAAGGGAAATGATGCTTCTATCAGACTTGTTCCAGGCTTTAGGTGGAACTCAGATGCCTTGTTCTTCAAAAACACACACACAAAACTGTTAACTAATTAAGTGTTGAACTGTGGAAGCTGGCGGGATGATTTAGGATCAGAAACCAAACAAAAGGTGAGCTTATGGATGGATGCTTTAGATAGAATTAGAATACAGGGATATTGAATTATAATATAGACTAGATGAGACTGCTTTGGCAGAATTAGAAATGTGCTTTGGCAGAAAGACAATAATTGATATTTGTGCTATTTAATATTTATAGCTGTTATGGTGTTTAAATCTTTTTTATAACTAGGATGAATTAACTGGAACTGTGGAAAGCATAACTTTCCTTAAGTAATCTTTAGCAGAAGGAGCAATAATTTTCAAGGTAGGAAGAAGGTATAAGTGTTAAGACTGAATTCACCTAAGGCAGAATGGGCCAGGAATCTATAAGAATATGTATCAATTAAGATTAAATCTAGCAGCAAGTAACAGAAACCCAAATTAATATGGCTTTAACAAGATGGAGCTTTATTTTTCTCTGTGTAAAAGGCTGGAAGTAGGCAGTCTTTGAAGTCATTAGGGATTTAGGCTCCTCCTGTCTTTTTGTTTTACTGTGTTTAATGTTCTATCTCATGGTCCAAAGTGGGTGCTGAAGCTCCAGCTGTCACATTTCCATTCCATCCAACCAGAAAGATAGATATTAGATACATATACCTTGCTTATATCACATTAGATAAAACTTCGTCATAAGGCCATACCTAGCTTCTGGGAAGCTGGAAAATGTCCTTTAAAAGTTTCATTTATTGATTGATTTTCTTTCTTTCTTTTTTTTTAAAATTAATTTATTTTTGTTACAGATGTTTCTCCTTTTTCCCCTTATTGGCACCCTCCTCCCCATCCCCCCTACTCCATCTCCAGCTTTGTTGTTATGAATACATGCATATAAATTCTGTGGTTTATTCCCCCCTCCCCCCCCTTCTGAGGATTGCTAGTCTGTAACCTACTACCACATCTCTGGGACTACCCTGTTCTTCAGACTGTTATGTTCATTATGTTCCACAAATAAGTGAGATCATATGATACTTATCTTTCTCTGCTTGGCTTGTTTCACTTAGGATAATACTTTCCAGGTCCCTCCATGTCGTCTCAAAGGATAAGAGATCTTTCTTTCTTATAGCTGCATAGTACTCCATTGTGTATATGTACCACTGCTTTTTTATCCACTCATCTACTGATGGACACTTGGGCTCTTTCCAGATCTTAGCTATTGTAAATAGTGCTGCTATGAACATGGGGGTACATATATTCTTTCTGATTGATGTTTCAGGCTTCTTAGGATATATTCCTAGAAGTGGGATCACTGGGTCAAATGGCAGTTCAATTTTTAATTTTTTGAGGTAACACCATAATGTTTTCCACAGTGGCTGCACCAGTCTGCATTCCCACCAGCAGTGTACTAGGGGCCCTTTTTCTCCACACCCTCACCAGCACTTGTTGTTTGATAATTTGTTGATTGATTTTAGAGAGAGGGAGGAAGGGAGAGAGACAAAGAAAGATAAACATTAACTTATTGTTCCACTTATTTATGCATTCATTTGTTGCTTCTTGTATGTGCCCTGAGCAGGGATCAAACCCACAACTCTGGCATTTTAGGATGATGCTCTAAACAACTGAGCTATCTGGCCAGGGCCCGGAAAATGTCTTTATACCAGGTGGCCACATGCCCAGCTAAAAATCAGGAGTACTATTGCAAGAAAAAAGAATAGAATAGATGTTGGGGAATAGATACATATGATGTAACTGGTAACTACTGGGGTAAAAAGATCCAAAAGCATTTTATGAAAACAGGTCCCAAAGAATTTCTACCTTCCAATATTAACCATTTTAAATATATGTTAAATCATTTCAGGAACATTTTTATAACAGAGCCACAAGCACAACTCTCAAGAACCTGGATTTAGAAGCACATCACAAATTATTACTCCTACTATGGGTGTTGAGAATGAAGAAGGGTGAGTGAATGTTGAGAACAAAGACCTCAGAGACTTGTGGATAAATGGACTCTAGAAGTGGAACAGCAGCCTGTCACAACTTGAGGAATGATTTTGATCATTGTCAGTAGAGTTACTCTGAATCACAGATTTGGGACTTGGGGAGTTTTATTTTGGTTGGATTCTCCTAGGCAGCATTTCTGTACTTAGATTTTCAAATCAGAGAAACTGAAATTTCAACTCAAAATGACAATGGTTTTTTTCAAAGGAGCATTTTTCCTCCCTAATGACCCCGTTTCAACCCCTTCTTGCCATTTCCCACAGCAATGATACATTTATTCAGAGGTACTTTAAGCTAACTTACCGTTCTTTTCTTGAAATTGAATTTATTGGGGTGATATTGGTTAACAAAACCATAAAAAAAAATATGGAATGCTTCACGAATTTGCGTGTCATCCTTGTGCCCCGGCTGTGCTAATCTTCTCTGTATCGGCCCAGTTTTAGTATACATGCTGCCGACGCAAGCGCTACGTTAACCCACGGTTCTTCACTCACCATTAGGGAGTGATTTATGTACCATGCAAAATAGAGTCCACTGGTTTGTATGGGAATAAAAAAAAAAAAAAGACCTTCCCCCAGGAAGCACCAGATCTTTCACCATTGCCTTTTGGCCTCACTTGTATCCTCGAGAGGAACTTTCGATCTCAATGCCTTGAGGCCTGGCACCCTTCCTATTTCACTTGGTATGAACAACATAGCATTGGACTAGTCTGGTCATTTCTAGCAGTTCTAAGAGAGAGAAAAAAAAATTCACGGCAAGACAGCAATGGGAAGTCTTATGTTTGTGTAAAAACGTGATGAAGGGAAATATTTATTTGACAACGCTTCTTCATTGTGAAAGACCCATAGCTGAAAACCGCAATGAAGCAAAGCAAAGCAAAACAACAACAACAACAACAAAAACAAAACCTAATCATTGAGTCTAAGCATTTTACCATACTAGATTTTAGGGCACGAGATTATTCCTTTTGCTACTTCTGTTTCCCAGTTATGCCCATTTGCCAAAATAAGGATGTCCTGTCTCCACCCAGTCAGCTGCAAGAGTGAACTGACGACTTCAGAATGGAAGACAGACACCTCCTGCAGGAGGATTCCCCAGGCAGACAAAGAACATGCATCCAGTACTGGTTACAGAATTTGTGAGGTTCAGTGTAAACTGAAAACGTGAGGCTCCTTGTCCAAAAGTTAGGAAAAAAGTGCCATAAGAGGTATTAAACAGAAGCTTTTTCCTTTCCTCCAGTTTCTCTCTTGATTTGTCAAGGTGTTGCTTTTTGTTGTTGTTTTTATTTAATGCCTCCCTAAATTAAAATTAAAATTAAAAATCCCAAATTACTGGCATAATGTTTATCATTCATTTTTAAATTGTGGAATGCCAGATTAAAATGCAAACTTGTATGCAGAATCACCAAAATTACACAATTTGTATTTTGTAGTTCATACCTTGCATATTTATTTTATTCTTACCGGAACACTGAAAATGCTGCAAAAACTAACTTGACTATGTTTTATTTCACTTCTTCATACATGCACATTCTACCAACACTTTATGGAAGCCATTGGCGTCCATGAAATGCTGACCTGTACTTGCTTTGAGTCCTGCTGAACTCCCATGCTGGATCCACTGAAATTCTGTGTTCATGCAGCATCAGGAATGTTATTTATTTTTTATCTTCACCCGAGGACATTTTTGCATTTATCTTCAGATAGAGCGGGAAGGAGAGAAGGAGGAAGAGAGAGAGAGAAACATTGATATGAGAGAGGCACAATGACTGGTTGCCACCCACACGACCCCAACAGGGGCCAGGGACAAACTGCAACCAAGGTACATGCCCTTAGCGGGAACTGAACCCAGGTCTCTCTGGTCCATGGGCTGATGCTCTAACCGCTGAACCAAACTGGCCAGGTCAACATCTGGAATGTTACATGCAAATGTGGTGACAAGGACCAACGAACACACGAATATCTGCTCATGCAGTGCTCCATTGTCCCTTTAGACTTGACTTATAAAACACAAGTTCAAAGATAAAATTATTATGAACTTCAAGACAGTGACAGCAGAGCATTAAACCAAGTGTGGGGCCCTTCTGAATGTGGGGCCCTGTGTGACCACATAGGTCATACATCTTTGAAGCCAGCTCTACATGTAACCAAAGTAAGAGTTATCTTTAATTTGAAAAATCAGCAATCATTGAAAAAGCACAAACAAAATGAAAACAGACCAATTGAGGCAATATTGGAGAGTAACATGGTAATGGGTAACGCATGCCTGAGATGAATCTTGAAATATGGTAAACAAGTTATTGGGAAAAAAGAACTTGTGGCCAATGTTCATTTGAGAGTCATCTTGAGTGTGATAATGTCATAGTTGTGAGGAAAATTGTAGATTAAAAAATGGTAAGACTGAAACATTTTGTTCATTGATGCAAACCTTACAACTTAAAAAAAAAAAGACTAAAAATTACAGAGAGGTAATATAAAAAAGCTACTCTCACAATTTGAATATATTTTGAAAAATTTGCTGCATATATCTATAACAACCATTTTTACTCCTAATTGAGGTAGATGTCATAAGAATAAGCAAAGATGCCCTGGCCAACGTAGCTCTGTGGTTAGAATGTTGGCCTTCTGACTGAAGGGTCCCAGGTTTGATTCCCCATCAAGGGCATGGACCTGGGTTGCAGGTTCATTCCCTGGCCCCAGTTGGACGTGTGCAGGAGGAAACCAATTGATGTGTCCCTCTCACATCAGTGTTTCTCTCTCTCTCTCTCTCTCTCTCTCTCTCTCTCTCCTCTGCCCTCCCTTTCTTCCAGTCTCTCTAAAAAAATCAATGAGAAAAATATCCTCAAGTGAGGATTAACAACAACAACAAAGAAGAATAAGCCAAGATAGCAATCTTGTTTCTTTCTTTTTATGCAATAAAGTTTTGTATTACTTTGTTGATGAGAGACAGCACCATAATAACCCCAAAGGAAAATCCTTTTAAACATATTCAATTTGAAAGGTTTTAAAGAAACAATGATAAATAAGCCATTAATTTGTTTTCATTTTAATGTATCTTCTTTTATATTAGGGTGAAAAATTCAGCTGTATTTTCAAATGATCAATAAAAATATAAATAACTATATTAGAATGACATGGAAAATCCTATGTGACAAGAGAGCTATGATTAAATTGTATAATGAACAGCTTTGTGAATATAAAAGTGTTGCTGCAAAATAAAGATGTATTACATATACACTAATAATTGTTTGTAATAAAATTAACCAGAAGCCAGATCATTCTTGCACTTAATCAAATATTTCCTAAAAATAACTTTTCCAAACACACCACACACACACACACACACACACACACACACACACCACTATTATGTATTGAACATTTCTGGAAGGATACATGGTTCCAACATACCTCTGGGAGGGAGACTGGGTGTTGAGAAAAACTTTTTTGCCTTTTCCCCATCTTCTGTATTATTTGGATTTTTTTTTTGCCAGGGACATGATTTTATTTTAATAATTTAAAAGCTGGCTAGTTAAAAAGGGTAGTCATTCAGTGAGCATACCCTAAAATACATACTACAGTCTATACGCATGCATTATACATATGCTTTTTGTCCAATGCTTTCAATTTCATTTTTGAGTTGGTTAGAATCACTCTCTAGCTCAGGGGAATTTTTGCATTAATAATGTCATTGGAGGTCCCAAGAGGAGCAAGTGTCTGCAAAGGGAGAAGGGCTTTTTGTTAATCATGAGGAAGATCTATATTTATGTACATTTCCTGTCATATGTTGTATGTAAATGCTATTCTTTCATACTTTAAAAACATTTTTTTAATGGAAAAATTCTAAAACACACAAAGGCAGAGAGAGTAGTACAATAAACCCCTATCCAGGTATCCATCAACCAGCTTCAACAATGATCAATTTATGTGCAACTTTATTTTGTTTATATTTCTGCCTTCTTCCCATCCCAGCCAAATAATTTTGGAACAAAGCCAAATATCATATCTTTTTATCCATAAATATTCTAGTATGTATTTTTATAAGGACTTTCAAGAAAAGTAACCACAAGATTATCGCATTTAAAAAATTCCTTAGAAATTTCTTAATATTAAGTATTTAATTATTGTTAAAATTTTCCTGTTTGTCTCATAAATGTGTATGTGTGTTTTTTACAGTTGACTTGTATATAGACTATAGATTGCCTTTTACTCCTGCTCTGTTTTTCCCTTACTCTTTGTTGCAGAAACTAGCTAATTTGTTTTCCATACTCTAGGTTTCCATACTCTAGATTTTGCTGGTTGCATCCCCCTGTTATTTTTTAACATGTTTTGTGTCTCCTGTATTTTCTGTAAATTGGTAGTTAGACCTGGATGCTTAGTCAGAGCAGGTTTATTGTTTGGGAAAACACTTTCATAAGTGATGTTGTATACTTCCTACTGCATCACATCAGAAGGCACACGATGCCTCATTGTTTCTCTTTTTGTGACATTAGTGTTGATCAGTACTTTGGGGGCCATCAGCAGTAATAGTCGTCTCCTCACTGGTCTCCCCACTTTGTCCTTGCTCCCACACTGTAAGAGATATTTTCCATGGAGGGACTAGCTGTGGGGTTGGCTGGGTAATTTTGCTCATCTTGGCTAGGCTTACCTGGGTTTTTTGGGTTCAGCTAAGACTCACTGACTAGTTGGCCAGCTGTTGTCTGACCTAGGATAGACTCCGGTGGGATGGTTCATCTTCTCCTGTGTCTCATCCTATAGCAGGCTAGCCCAAGCATGCTCTCATGGCAGTTACAGGGGTCTAAGAGGCTTACATATTTGAAATCATTTGACTCATTAAAAAGATTGTTCTTTCTTAGCAAAGCAAATTCTTCATTCGACTTCCAATTAGTTTTCAGTATGAGCATTCAATACAGATACAACATATGATAGAGCTGATCTTTCTGAAACTTTGGCAGTTAATTTGGTCTCTTATGTAATAGGATAGGTTTATTATTAATGTCTTGTAGTCCTGGTACTTAATACAGTTCTATAGACTTTCTGAAGTGATTGAAAGTCTTTATCATTTTGTTCTTGAGCTTGTCATTTCAATCCACACCAGAATTCTTTATTTCCTTTAATTTGTCTCATTGACTCTTTTACTTCCTGTACAATTCTTCTTCTCTTTCTTTTGACAGCCCAAGCAGATTTACAGACCATCCTGTTTCAGCTTTGCTGACCTATCTATTCAGTTTATCAGCTTTTGTGATATTTACCTAACAAATGTAGCTTTTAGGAGATTAAGGTAGGCATGGACAGAGTAGACAAATAATAAAAATAGGGGATGGCAAACTCAGGCACAGATAGATGGAGAGTCACTCTGGAATGTTTATATGAGATGAATATTTTTCCTCAATGTTAGAAGCAGCTCTGCCAAATCATTTCATATCTTCAGTAATTTATAGCATCTTGGGTCTCTTGAAGTATATAAA